CAATTATTAAGAGAAAAAAAAGAAGAAAAAAAAACAACTTATTTCTGGAATTACTCCAGAATCCCTTCTACCCAAGTAATTAGCACCTTCATCCTAATTCTTTAGCACTGTTGATTACTAAATCTGTCTCGGGGTGAGGTGGGGTGGTAGCTCTCTCTATGTCACATTGGTTAGCCACATGATACCACTGAGTTTAGCATCCTCTTTTCAACTCTCTGTTGAAGGCAACTTGATCTGATGACTTACATCTCTTTAATACTCCTCACTGATTCATGTCATGAATGAATAGTAATTTATGACTGATGACCACCCTCTTGTATTCACACTGGAAGGCTTATGGGTTACCCCGCTTGGTTTGGCCATAAATGTCTATTAGGTGACACTCTTTACATCTATAAGAAGTCAAATATTTCCTTGATCTTTCTCTTTTTAATTTTTGCTTCCAGATGTAGCTGAATGTAGATAAAGAACATTGCTGCTGGGGCACATTCATTTTTATTCCTCTGCTGAATTTTGAACTCTCTCTCACACACATGCACATGTGTCTATTACACATGTTTCTTTGATACACACAAAAGCACATTCTTATAAGTAAATTTAATGTCTTTTCCTTTCATTAAATTTTTTACCCAGACGCACATGAATCCACCAAATATTGTTTGTAGGACAAATGTCCCAGGAGCACATATATATTTACTATAATTCATCTATACACCTTGCAAAGAAAGAGGTGAATCCCGCAAAAGGCTCAACAAGCTTTTCAAAATTGTTACTGGTTTCAGATCCCATTTTTTTGATTGAAAATAATCCTGAGAATGAGTTCTCTTTTCAGTTTATTTTTTTCAGAACATTCTTTTATAATTAGCCTGAATCAGATACAGCATCACCATAATCAGGTTCAGAAACAAAGCTTATAAAAAAAGTCTCATCTGAAGATCTCATTGGTTGAGAATGTCTTCACTCTAGTAAGTGGTAAGGGTAAGTAATTGTTACTGTTATGTCCCCCTTAGAAAAATTTCAATATAAGTTTAGCAAGAAATTTGTTAACACCTCATAAAAACACCCAATTCCATGTTACAAAAATGGTTTTCTGTGTGGGTACCTTCACAAGAACACTAAAAAATCAGCATGCCATGATGAAAACATGCTCCAAATGTAATGAAAACATAGTTTTATTGTTAAAATCATTATGTTATTATTAAAAGTAAGGAAGTATCAAAATATTTTTTGATTATTTAATTAAACATTTTACTCCTTTTTAGAACATTTGAAATTTTGATTAAAAAATTCATTTTTGTTGTGTCAACAGTTGTACTAACTTTTATCATAGCAAAATTTGGCCTCTTTTTGGAGTGACAAAAAACATTAATTTGGAAATTCTTGCAAAAATCAAATAATTATTGGATTTTAATGAAATTTTTGAGACTTATTCATAAATGAATGAAATTATTTTTGAAATTTTTTTATTAGAAAATCTTGGTAAAAATATATATATTTTTTAACATATTTCATCCCCTTACTTAATTTTATGAAAACTTGAGAAATTCAATGAGATAATTTTTAGTGACTATATTAGTTAAAAGCAGAATTCTTTGAAGAATTTAAATCATTAAATTTCTTTTGCAAAATTAGACCTGGTCTTACCAAAAATCTGTTCTGAATCGAAAAACAAAAAAACACAATAAAACTAAGACATTATTTAATTAGAGAAGCTTTTAATTGCTTTTATGAATAATCTATATTAAAGACAATATTGTCTGAAGAAAAAAATCTTTGCTGAAAAATGAATTTTTACCAGGTTTCTTTTCAATTTTTTACAATTTTTAATTGAATTATTTATAAAGTTTTTGAATCTTTTAAAATGAATTTTCAATGAGATAATTCTTAGGAAATATTGTTATTAAGTGAAACTATATTTACTAATGATATATTATAAAGCTTATTACAATCTGATGAACCAGAATATTTAAAAAAAATTTCAATTTGTTTTTGTATGTGTGATTAAATGCAGAATTTCTGAAGTATGGATGTACAAACTGATAAAATCTATCATTAAAAGGTCACATGTTTTAAGAGTTGTCCCTCCTTACGGCAACCCCCTCCAAATTTATTGTCTGCTCCAGCCTACTTAACTATGAACATATTCAGCTGTCAATAAATCAATTAACATATCGGTTAAGAATTGCTTGTATACAACATTTTGTGGTAAGTAATATTTGTTTCAAACCAGACTAATTTAACTTTAAATTTGCTAGTTTTCTCAAATAACTTTTCAGCAATATATAGTTTATTTTTGCAAGGTTTTTAAAACTGAGAATGGCCTTTTTGATAAATTTTAATGAAAAAAAAAATGATTCTGATCAATATAATTTGTTTGAAATACACCACAGAATATTTTGCTGACTGGAAATAGTAAATTTTAAATCTTTTAGCTTTCAATTAAAGCTAAATAAAAACCTCAAGAAAGCTTTTTCATTTTTAAAAATTAATTTTCAACCTTATGTATACTGAATTAGTGAAAGTACCAAACTAAGAGTAAGTAATTATATTTGTTTCAAATCAGATTAATTAAGCTTTAAATCAGAGAATCTTCCTTAAATAAAGTTTCAGAAAAGTATATTTTATTTTGAAAGTTTTTTTTATTAATAAAGAGAATTACATTGTGCTGACAGATTTGTTAATATGGATGATTTTAGCATTTTTATTGATTAAAAAACTCATTCCAATCAATTTATAAATTCAGTTTGAAGTACAGCAAAGTATTTTGCTTATTGGAAATATTAAATTTTATCTATTAGCTTGCAATTAAAATAAAACCTTCAAGAAAGGTTTTTCATTATTGATTTTTAAATGATAGGCATTGTTTTTCTTTGGAGGTTTCTCTACTTGTTTTAGTATCAAATGCCAAAAGGATTTGTCAAAACAATCAACTGCTTGTAACTGGTATGCATAATTCAATAAAGTAAGGTTTTATTGTTTTCTAGTTTATTGTAAGAAAATTATCTTCTGGGTAAATAAATTTATTTACAAAAATGAAAGATTTTGCAAATTTAAAAGTAATGAAGAAGAAGAAAAAGAATAATCAAAAGAAGAATAATAATCAAAAGAAGAATAATAAGAAGAATCAAAAGAAGAATCGAAAGAAGAAGAAGAAGAATCAAAAGAAGAATCGAAAAAGAAGAATCAAAAGAGGAAGGAGAATCAAAAGAAGAAGAATCAAAACAAAAGAAGAAGAATAAAAGGAAGAAGAATCGAAAAAAAGAATCAAAAGAAGAAGAATCGAAAGAAGAAGAATCGAAAGAAGAAGAATCGAAAGAAGAAGAAAAGCAAAAGAAGAATCAAAAGAAGAAGAATCGAAGGAAAAAGAATCGAAAGAGGAAGAAGAATCGAAAAAAGAAGAAGAATCAAAAGAAGAATCGAAAAAGAAGAAGAATCAAAAGAAGAAGAATCAAGAAGAAGAATCGAAATGGGAAGAATCAAAAGAAGAAAAATCGAAAAAGAAGAACAATCAAAAGAAGAAGAATCAAACAAAACAAAAGGAGAAGAATCAAAGGAAGAAGAATCGAAAAAAAAAGAATCAAAGGAAGAAGAATCAAAAGAAGAATCGAAAGAAGAAGAATCAAAGGAAGAAGAATCGAAAGAAGAAGAAGAATCAAAAGAAGAATCGAAAAAGAAGAATAATCTGAATCAAAAGAAGAAGAATCAAACAAAAAGAAGAATCGAAATGGGAAGAATCAAAAGAAGAAAAATCGAAAAAGAATCAAAAGAGGAAGAAGAATCAAAAGAGGAAGATGAATCAAAACAAAGGAAGAAGAATCGAAAAAAAGAAGAAGAATCACAATAATAATCAGAATCAGAAGAAGAATCATCATCCGTATCTCCAAATGCAAAAAAAAAACAACAAAAAACATACTTTGAAATAGCCGCGTTTTTACACATTTATTATTAGACAGTTTCGTAATTCATAAAAATAACAAAACCTTATCAACAAAAAGTTACACGTAAAATTCAATAAAAATGAATGCAAATATAAGCATATAATTATAGAATAGTTTTCACCGTGATTTATATACAATCTGCTTGAAATAATGCAATGTAGTCGATTTTTAGTTTATTGCCGTACAAGATGGCTTCCATGGAGGTTAGTAATTTGTTTTTGCTCTTTGCTTCCAGCTGATTAACTGTCTCGTTTTATACTTTCCTTTAAGTAACTTTACTGACAGTACTTTTTTTATGTTAAAACATTGACCTTTTCGCTTAAATAATGACATCCAACCGCAAGTAATCCCTCTTTATTTGCTATAATGTCCCAGCAATTACTTTAAAAACCTCATCATAACTCGTTTTCCTCGTCCCCGCAAATTCCTTGTTAGATTTTTTCTTCTTATTTTATTAATTTTTCTCTTGCTTCGTTTGGATTTTTATTTTATTTTACTTTAATCGCTTCTGTAGACTCTTTGTCGAATTTGTGACTGTTTGTTAATATTTGTTTTTACCTACTTGTTGAATAGAAAATAGACTTAACAATGGATTTATTGACATTTTTTTTTTTATCAAGAAATGATTTTTTTTTTTTTTTTTTTTTGACATTTTTGTGTTAAAATCGAAAGAAATCAATTATTAAGACACGACTTTGGTTTTTATGATTAAATATTCACTCATCTTCCTTTAAAAAGTTTAAAAATTATATTTGACCGCATATTTCATTTATTTTGCTTGAATCGCTAGTCTTTTATTTATTAAAAAATAATAATTTTTGCACTTTTTAAAAAATTATAGCTTTGGTTTTTCTTTCTCTTTTTTTTCTTTGTTAAAAATCAGAAAATAAACTAGAATATATGTTTACGCTTAGTTGTTAAAATTTAACCCATTTTGTAAACCATCTGTTTCATTTTCTGGTTTTTGAAATCTTCATATTTTAATTTTCTTTTTAGGTCAGAAAAAAAATCCCTTTAAAACGACTTCTTAATGCAGCCGATAAAAGTAAAACTTGAAAAATAATGGTAACCTTACTGACTCTATCTTCGTCTTCATGAGGAAAATAATCACTTTCTTTTCTTACAAATAATAAATATATTAAAATATTTATAGTAAAGTTCCTATTTGACGCCTTTTTTTTCTTTCAATCTTGAGGCTAAAAAGATTTTTAGGCAGTTGTTAAAAACGTGTTGTTTAGTTTAGTTTATTGGTTGTAGTAGTGGATTGTGATTCCTTTTTTATTTTATGTTATAAAAAAACAAACTATATTTACCGAGACGAACATATCCAAGATAAAATAAATCACCTTTTGAAAAGAATGAACTCAAAAAAGGTCCTATATTTATTTATTTTTAAAAAAAAAAAAAAAAAACAAAAAAGTCATCTTTGAAAAATGATGTTTTGTTTTGTTAGCTTCTCGCAGTCATTTAATCTGTTTCATTTTCATTAGGTAAATTTCCTACGAATAATTGTTTTATTTTTATTATTAAGTTTAGCTTATTTGTGGTACAAAGTTTATGGTACCCAATGAGGATCGAAACTTACAGGCATTATCTTATTACACGATGACTGAGCTCTTAGTCTTACTCTTGTATTATTATTTTTTTTTTATAGATGAATATCAACACACGCATTCATTACTTACTTCCTTTTTTTTTTTTTTTTTTTAATCTGTATCTCTGTAATGACAATATACAGGATTTTCTGGTATATTCTATATTTGAACTGTAATTCACTTTTTCGAGTCTGGCTTGAAAAGCCTGGGTAAAAAGCTCATGTGGCAACTGACCAAACAGAGGTGGAATAGTATCTATTTTCTTCTCCCCCCCCCATTTCCCTTTCCGAAATGGTGCTGAATTCAATTTTCCTTTCATTAGTTTCATTTTTCTTTTAAATTCAATTTTCTTTTCTTTCTGATCTAACAAAATTTAATGCAAAACATTAATCATGTAAATGTAAAATAAATATTTACATAACTATAGTATAAAACACTCTTTTGTAAATTTTTTCATGAATTTATTTTATGGAGTAAGTATTAAAAAAAAGTCCCACTCTGAATTAAATAGTCTGAACTGTCAAGTCTTTGGTTTCAACCAATCTAAGAGAAGGAAAACTCTTAATTCCAAAATATGAAGAAAACAGGAACCCATTCATGACTGTCTACACCTTAAAGGGACCTAGCATTTAAAAACAAAAGTTTAAAAAAATACAGAATTCATTTAAAGTTTTGGGAATAATAATAAAACTCCGTTTACATTTTTTTTTATCTTTAGAAATTTACCAAAAATTCACATTCATTTTAGTAAAAATATTCTAATGCCTTTAAACATATCTTTTAAGGAGAAAGAAGATGCAATTAAACAAAATATTAATTATACTAGGAGGAGGAGGAGTTATGTAAAATTAAATTATTTCCTTTTAAAACTTATTTTATTTTCACTTTAAACATCACTATATATCTCCATATTATATGTTCATAAAAGTTAATATTTGTATTGACAATTAAAATGTATGCACATTTTGCATCAACTTGACAAATGAAATTTTCAAGGACATTTTTTTCTTTTTTCCTAATGTGCTCCTAAAAATTGAAATGTTCCTGACAAATTAGATCCAAGGATGGAGGGAGATAAGATTGTAGCTGTTGTCAGTCTACAAATATCTTTTTTTATAGCAGCCATTGTAATTTGAGTTTTATAGTTATAATATTTTTTTTTAAAGACTGACAATCCTCGACAATTAAAAACAAATAATTTTCTTTTTGTGTCACATAGCCACTTGTTTGTTTCTTTTTGGCTAGAGAATCACTTTAACCACAAATTATAATCATTTGTATGCTATTTTCTTTTCAAAAATATTTTTATATAAATTATTAGAATATATAATAATTAAGTATATAAATGAAAACAAAAAGTCAAAGCCATATTGTTTAATGTTTTAAAAACAAACCTTGAACAAGAGAGAAATAATTCTTGTAGTTGCGATTGTATTTTATAACATTAAATATTACTTTGATTATAATAAACTGTTATTAAACTGGGGTGAAGAAATAAACTATTTTTTTTATTTATTGATGTTTTTTTTGTTTTTTCTTACTTTGGATATTGTGAATTGTCATGGATTGATTTGACACTGTATCAATATTATAAAGAGGAACCCCTTCTAAATCAATAACAAAATTTCACTTCTTGCCTTATGCTCATATAGCACCATGCAATAACCCACTACCTTGAGTGACTCTTGAGCCTAGTATTATTGGGTAAACATGAAAAAAAAAAAAATCAATATTTTTTTGATTTTGACAAGTGCTGTGGTGTTAGGAATGTCTCAAGAATGCCAATCAGCAAAAATGATTCCCCCACCAAAAAAAAAATTTTTCCCTATTTTTTTTTATAAGTGGACCAATCTATTTAAATAGTCTCAGAGATTTAAGTACACAGCCTAGTTCCTGCTGTAAGAATTTTGTTATTTTGTGAATAAGAGTTATCCTCAAATTTCTGTTGATATTGCTAGAGAGTATTTGTTGAAGTATATTACGCAATTCTCACATGAAATCTTTGAATGATTTTCTTCAAAACCTTTCCAGTTATCTCTTCAAATTTAATACTCCAAAAGACCCAAGAAATTTTAAATTTGTCTTGCCATAAATAACCTCAAAGAAGAAACAAATGAGAGGCATTCTGTTTCCAGCTTCTTTTTCATAAATGACATTTAATACTTTTCTCACCCTGGTCGATCAGCTTTTCAGCTGTTGCAAAAACATAGCCAGTGGGATTTTCTAGTATTAATTAAAAATTTGTAATATAAATTTCTCTGATGCATTTTATTATCTAAAAAATAGGTTTAATCTCTATGTACTTTAAATATAAAAATATATAAGTTTATGATTAAAAAAATAATTATTAACACTTCTGCTGCTGTCAATGTATATATATATATGTCTTTAAGAAACTGTGTGTGTGTGTGTATATATATATATATATATATATATATATATATTAACAACAACAAATTTCTCATATTTCTCAAAATATCATATTTGCTCAAAGTGTATCTTAACATAAACAAATGATGGCATATATTATGAAATGGACTAAAAAACCCAGTAATTTGACTTTGCTAACCAGACTCTTCTTCTGTAGCAAAATGGTATAGCACGTCAGGCTATATGACAGTTCCGTGTAAGTTAAAGGTTCATTTCCTGTGAGAGGACACATATTTTCTAAGAAATTTTTCAGACATTCAGGCTGGTAAATTTAGTTAATACTGTTTTATTATAAAAGCATCATTTACTTAAAATTTTGTATCTATAAAAATAACATATAAACAGAAAATATATTAAAATGATTGTTGGACTTAGTCCATTTCATAATTTATGATGTCATTTGTTGACATTAAGATACACTTTGAGCAGATACGATCATTTGAGAAAAATCATGGGAAAATTTGTTGTTTAAAACCAGTAATTTGACTTAGTCTGTACTATTGAGTATCCAAGTGAAACCAAGATTGTAGTGTCCATGGGGAAATTGCTGTTGGCATCTTTATAGTCATTTATTTCTAGTAAATGTCAATTTCCTTTTTTACCAAAAATGGGCCAACACAGCCAGGTAAGAATAGTACGACTATGCAGCAATGAAAATTTTAACTGATTTAAAAAATTTTTTTTTTTTTTTTGCTTTATGAAGATACTTGAACAGTGACCAATTTTTCTATCAGTTGGTTTTAATTATTCCATCTCATAATCATTCCATTCTTTATTGAAGTACAATTCTCTCATGTTGATTATGAATTAAAAGCATAACTGAAGAAATAGTTAGAACTGAGCCATGTTATTTTGTTCACCGAGCCAATTGGTAATTGGTTTTTGTTAACCTTATGATGGTTAAGCTTACTAGTTTGCCTGTAAAATGACTAATATTTTACAATTGTATCGCTTATATTTTCTACATGAGTAATCTAGGATTTTTATCTATAAAATTAATTCTGTTATTGAATCTAAGGAAGAACTCTGCTTAATAAAAGTAAATATATCGAAATAAATAAAAAGCAACATATTGACAACTTGATCTCTTTTTCTTGCTAATGTGATATTCTGTTGTTATGGTAATAGTCTGTTTGCTTATTGGCATTGAGTAATACCTCCTGTTACTATGTTACATGAACTGCTGCTGTTTGTCAGTGGCCTTGTTTTGACAGTCAAATAAAAGCATTTACTACTCATTCCTTTGTGGGGGGGGTGAAAGGGAAGGTGATGTTTCGACAGACAAGAGAAAGAAAGTGCGAATGATACTTTGCATGCCCAAAACAAAGAATAAAACAACATCGTTGAACAAATTTAAATACAGTTTAATAACAACAATGGTGATAATTAAGTGAAAGAGAAAAGGCAATCTAAGAAGGGTTAAAGAGAATTTGTAAAGAGTCTAGAGAAATAAAGTTGGTGAAAATCAAATATCCGTGTATGTACAGATATGTGACTGTGTGTGTAATATATGTATGCGTGAAGATATGAATGTGCTGAGTGTATGCATATATATATTTATGGATAAAAGTAACTCAGTTCTTTTTCTGTGGTTAATGTAGTTTGGTGTTTTGGGTAAGTATTTTATTTCATTTGGGTTGATCTCTCTCTATGATGTGGTTGCCCAAATGAGAAAGGTTTTTTTTTTTTCTCATGGCGCAAGTGAAAGCAACATGTGGGTGCTTGCTGTGGATTCTCTTGTGTGCACTCATGGGTATGCCTACTGTGTATGCTATTGTGTGTGCCTACTCTGAAGCCCTTCTGTGTCATTTGACCCATCCTTATGTAGGCCAGAGATAGGCTCCAAATGAAAGCCAAAATTTAATAATTTTTTTTTTGCGTGGTCCCATTGCTTGAGAAGATTCATATGGTATACTTACTCTGCATGAGGGTACACAGTTTGCTTTTTTGTGTCTATTTTTAAACTTAAAATTGTAGTTATAGAGGGAATTTAAAAATGTATTTTTATTTATTTTTGCATATTTTTGAAGTCCCAACATA